CATTTGCTATTGAGTATGTTTTTCTGTACGTTAGCAACGTTGTGTTCCTTGGACTGCAACCGAAAACTTATCTAGTCTGTAATGTCCCGCAGAGCACGTGCTAAAAGACGAAAGCTTGCGGTCTTCCCACCGTCTCTGTGTCCTAGAATCGTCACCGGAGACACAGCAGGTGACATCAAAAGTTCGTTGCCCTCTGAGGATATGGTTAAATGAAAAATCCCTCCGTGAGTCGTAACAAAACATCAGTCGGCGAAATTCTCAATCAGTTGATATATGGCGACATAAACAGCACTTCTGAAAAAGTAGTTGACCAAGCTTTTAAACTTATTGGGGTAATAAGTTCTGCAACCGAGGAAAGGATTAAACGTAAGCATAATTTTTTACTGCGAAACATTCCGAGCCACTTATCTGCTATGGAGGGAGCGCATTTGTTCCTGCAAAGTTGTGGCTTGGGTATCAGTGTTGCACAAGCTAAACGACTGCGCTCGCTCAGTCGAAATGCGCCGCTACTAGTTACCGTTTTCTCCTTGATAGAAGACGATTTAATCTTGTCGAGGAGGGAGGTAACTAGAGAATTCTGCCGTAAATGGCGCTTCTCCCTTTCGCTAGACCTCACGCCACCGCAGCGAAGACTGTATAAATTAAATCCGGCATAAACCAACACCAGGGTAATGACAACTACTGTCATTTTGCATAAGTCCTCTACAACACCATTCACGGACTCTGCACGTCACGACACAGCCAATACCGTAGAGAATTCGACTCTTCTTGATGCTGACATCTCTAGAAGCAACAACACGCCTGGTATACAAACGCCCCTAGCGACTTCCCCAACAACTCCTAGTAAATCTAAGCATGTGCCTAAGTCAAAGGCAAATCCACTTGCTGTCTCAGCCACTCGGACACCCGATAAATCCAGCACCATTATAAATTATTTCACCCACAATCGACTAACAGTGCCTCAAGCACCACGACTCAAAACGTACCGTGTTCCCAACTGCCCTCCAGCCCTCATATCGAGGCAGTTAGGCCGAATATGGCGACATCCGTGCCTTTGAATAAAACCCTTGCTCGAATGGAAACAATGCCTCCCGCAGCCCACAATTTGTTTCCTCCACGGCCGTTTTACCAATGTATTTCTCATACTAATTTCCATACTGGATCAGTTAACTCATCCGATCCTCAGTTTCGCTCCGGCGGGAATGTGTTGCTGTATCTGACCCGCGGATTTCCAGCTGAAAATAAGTTAGCTAACAATAGTTTCCAGTTTACCTGCCCGTCATTCCCTCCCCCAAGTCCTACCCCTTTTCATCCACGTCAGAATTTTTTGATGCCACAAAATTTTTTGCAGAACCGGACCGTTTGCTCCGTGGGCAGCCCAGAACTGGACGATGTAGGCCACCTCCCTCAAAAACTAACAGTCTTTCCCTTCAAACTTTTTGTTTTAAATGCCGGATCCTTGCTTAATAAGATGCCTTTGCTTCAGACTCAGGTGTTCGTCAATTGTCCTGATATTGTTTTAGTAACTGAGACGTGGGCATCAGCCTCAGTAGCTGACTCCGAACTCTCTCTTCTAGGCTACAATTGCATTCGAAATGATCGCCAAGATAGCCGTGGTGGGGGCAGCTGCGTCTACGTTAAGCAAACACTTACATTTTTGCCGTTGGACCTCCCGCACTTTTCCGCAGTAGAAGGCAGCTGCTGGCTCCAGGTTGCACAAAAAAATAAGTTCTCCTTTTTCGTTGGCTGCGTCTATCGCCCTCCCAACGCCAATGACAATTTTGATCGTTTACTCTTACAGGCATTTCATGCTGCGACCGACTTAAGCTTTAAGTGTCAATTGATTGCGGGTGACTTTAATCTCCCCGAAGTCCGCTGATCTCCACCTTCAGGCCCCAGAAGGTTCGAAGAATTTCTTGAGACTGGGGATGTTGGAAGGTGGAGTGAGGTTGTTGATTTTCCAACCAGACACTCAAGCACGCTTGACCTTATTTTCTGTAGAGGTTGCATTGACCGGGACAGTTCTTGAAACTATCACTTTCACTCTGTGGTATGTGACTGTTGCGATTCGGAGCTTTCGTCGGTCTCATAGCTCTGCTCCCAGTGGTGTCCCAGTAAGCATTTTAAAAGCGGATGCAAATGCAACTTTCGCATCCCTCTTATGTACGTTACTTAATCTCGCCCTTGAAAGTGAAACACATCCTTTCTTGTGGAAGGAATCACACATTTGGCCTATTCATAGGCATGGCCAATCAACTCATTTGATGACCTTCGGACAATAAACACCCCCCCCCTGCACTTTCGAAGATCTTAAAGACATTGATCAAAGATAAGATGGTATGTCACTTAACAGTGAATAACCTACTGAGTGCTGCTCAGCATGGATTGCTCAAAGCTCGGTCGTGTGACAACTGTCAGGTCTCTTTCTTTGACTATGTTCTTCAATCTAGGGACATTGGTTTTGCACTTCACACAGTCCATTTCGATCTCACTAAGGCTTTTGACCGTGTTGACCATGCTCTTCTTCTCTTGAAACTGTCCTCTTTAGGAATAGGTGGCAACCTGTGCACTCGTACACAACGAGTTAAGATTTCCAATACTATCTCCAACCCCACAAGTGTGAGGAGTGGCGTCATTCAGGGTAGTGTACTCGGCCCGCTTTTATTTTGCCTTTTTGTTAACGATGCACCCGATTTATTTCAGAATGGTAAGCCCTTCATGTATGCCGATGATCTTAAAGTTGCATATCGATATAAGCCGGTAGATCGTGACATCGTGCTTAAGCTCCTAAAGAACAGCCTACAGGCTTTCTTCCAGTGGTGCCGCACATGGCGCCTTTCTCTTTCTTGGCATAAATGCTCAGTCGTGGTGGTTGGCGACGACCGCCAACCTCAACTAAGTATTGAAGGTCACGCCATAAATGTCTCTGGGTTATTAAGGATTTGGGCGTATCATACTCCAAGAGTCTTAATCTCTCGGAGCACTGTGCCTTGATAGTCTCCAAAGCACGCAGAACGACCGGGTTAAGCCTCCGAAACTTTAAAACTGGCGACATTAGAATGCGTCTTTATAACATGTACGTTAGACCTGGCCTGAAGTACTGTTCGTTTTTATTTAGCTTCATGCGTGCTGCTGAGCAGAAGAAAATAGAATCCGTTCAGCACTTTTTTTACCAAGAGAGTCTTAACCCCGGAACACCGACATTTGTCTTACCAAGAACGTTGCCGGCTTACGGGCCTTGATCCTTTGTTGTTTCGTATACTACAAAAGGGACTATTTTTGCAATTAAGGTTTGTATATAATTGTACCCTTAACCCACTGACTACTTTAAGAAATCATGTCCACCCCTGACGTTACAATTACCGTGAGGTCTTTTTATTTCTTCCTCTGGCACTTACTGTTAAATATTGTCGGTTCTTTTCTGTAAATGTAATTTCTATCTGGAATAAACTACCCAGGAGTGTGAAAACTCTGCAAATTTATCCTTTATATATGAGAACTATTAGTCGATTTTTGCATTCAGAAAAACTCCCACAATTTTTGGATGCTGAATCCACTGATAGACTCCACCGTAGCGATGGCGTTTCTGGTCTTTGATCTTAATAGCCGATCCTACAAGGGGCAATTTCTTTGGCCAACAGCGACAGCTGCTCTTCGACGCTTCTGTTTGTATCAACCCTAACTGCATGAAAAGCATTGGCGACGGATAATATCCGATGCAGTCCAGCCCCTCTCTTCTTGACGGTCGAAATGAATTAATACCTCATTCAACACATTAAATGCGGAACAAGAATGAGAGAAGGACAACGATCTAACTGTTTAGATCTCGTTTTCATAAAGAAGAAGGACTCATAAGGGAAGTGAATCCACAACCTCCACTAGGCTTAAGCGATCATATTGCTTTTACCTGTGTGTGCTCTCTCCTATCAAACCAACAACCAAAAATCAAGAGGCGCAGAAATATTTGAAAGGATGACTTTAACGCAATGAGACGCACTCTTTTGGAGGAAACTTGGTTGGTCAACACAGAAGATTCAGACGAATTTTGGCAGTACTTTCGCGGGATTATAGAGCGTCTAACTGATACCCATTGTCCAATAAAAATGACAATACCATGTTCGCGACCGCCGTGGGTCAATTCGACGCCAAAAAAGACCATGAAGAAGAAACAGAGACTGTGGAAAAAGTATTTGCAACTTCGAGATCCAAGGTCATTCGCCGAATATAAGGATCAGCGCAATAAATCCCACAAACAAATACGGGTTGCTAGAACTTCTTTCGAGCGCCGACTGATAGCAGAATCCATTACATGTCCCAAGAAGTTTTACGGGTACATCCGCAGTACGAGGAAACATAGGGACGAAATTGCGTGTCTAAAGGACAACCTCGGAAACTTATAAGTTGAAGGGCCACAGAATGTGCGATTACTGTCTCAATTTTTTCAATCAATTTTTACGGAGGAGTCCGTAGAAGAAAATCAGCAGTTTGAAATGGACCGAGACAGCCAGGAGCTTCAAATGCGCCCAGGTATTGCCGTCATTGATACCGTCACCTTTTCCGTCGAAGAAGTCAGACGCGTCCTCAGTCAAATAAAACCTGATAAGTCTCCTGGACTCGACGGAGTTCCCGGACATATACTTAAGAAGCTATCAATGGAGCTGTCAAAGCCTCTTTCGACTTTCTTTGAGCTGTCATTGAGAACAAGAAGGCTGTCCTCCTAGTGGGAGACAGCTAATCCCGTTCCATCGCATAAGGGAGGTAGCAGGATGACAGCAAGCAGCTTTAGGCCTATTAGCTTAACTTGCCTCTCTTGCAAAACGATGGAAGCTATAGTAAAGAGCGCTATACAGCAATTTTGTGAAGAAAATAACATCTTGAAGGATTTTCAACATGACTTCCGGAGAGGACGTTCCTCTCTCTCAAATCTGCTAGCTTGTCTGGAGATCTGGACCAGGGCTCCAGAAGAGGGTTTTGAGGTCGATGTCGTGTACATCGATTTCCGCAAAGCTTTTGACACTGTTCCGCACCAACGCCTTTTTCACAAATTGAGCACAATCGGCATCCGGGGAGATCTTCTGAACTGTATTAGGGCGTTTCTGGTTGGTCGGAAACAACGTTTCTGTATCGAGGATGATATGTCAGAATGGGTGAATGTGACCAGTGTTGTGCCGCAAGGCTCAGTTCTGGGACCAGTGCTCTTCATCCTTTACGTTAACGACCGCCTTCAGGAACTCGACTGCGGCAAAATAATGTTTGCAGACAATGTCAAGCTCTGGCAAGTCATTAAGGGACCGAATGATCAAAGATCCCTTCAAGGTAATCTGCACCGACTGCAAGCGTGGTCGAAGAAATGGCTTCTAGATTTCAATGTGGAGAAGTGTGCCGTCCTTCATCTGCGTCCAGGTTTGCTGAGCCCAACTGAGCACGACGGAATTATTCTGCGCTCCAACTGGGACAATTTCGACTTGGTTACCATTCCACAGTTACAGTCTCTGACATTGATACTGGAACCGTACGTACAGAATTACTTTGTGCATGTTTGGAATATTTTTTCACGCATCGAAATTCGCCTGGAACCTGGATTAAGTGCAATTTGTTTATCAGCACGGTCCAACTGACAACGCAACTGGCTACGCAACCGATTCGCGGATATACAGCCTAGAAAACCAATCGCTCAAAATCCTTCAAGGTCTGCAGTTATTCAAGTCCCACGAGATGCGCAAAGGCTAAGTCACTTCTGATTAAATTCCACAAAATTTATCGGATTTTAAGTATTTTTTGCTTATTGAGTTTTGAATACTCACTTTAATTCATCATATATAAGCCGACGTATTCGTTATAACATCGAAAGCGAAATTATACCTATTATATCACGACGAAGTTTATGGATTCTCAGCAAGCTAACAGTAATTGTACGGCCAGCGACGGCACGTCTTTGGAAGATAAGTCCGGTGAGTTGTCCTTCGCATCCAGAACCTGTGCTCGCTCTACCTTCGCCTCCAGACAACGACCAGCAAAGCGTGCAAAAAGCGTAAATACCGCAAAAGTGCGAGGTACGAAGACGAGCCTTGTGTTGGGTGCGCAGATATTCAAATCAAAGTAGAAAAACTGGAAAAGGAGCTTGCTGATTTAAGGACGCTCGTGAAACAGACCGTAGTCGGCCAGAACGTGTCCAGTGTTAGAATCCCAAAAACGAAGAGCAAAACGCAAAAAACGCGAAAAAATATCTCCTCGGGAGAATCTTCAAACACGGGTAACAACTCAACAGCCAAAACCGCAGACGCCCGTAACAGCAGGACAATGAAAACGAAGCCGCCGATAAAGGGCGACTCGATTCCCACGCACGATGTCTTAAGCGATGTCGCAAAAAAATTACCCGTCGCGGAAGCCATCTCACCTGAGCCTCTTGCTGTAAATGACGGTAATTCTCTTCTGCCTGGAGACGATATACCTGGGTCATCCAGTCTACTGTTGCCCGCTTGTTCTGCCAACCACCCCGAGCGCACTACAGAGCACGTATCTGAATGCGAAGACATAAACCCGTGGGTAGAGGGGAGAGGGAAACGCCATGACAGGATTCTGAAGTCACAGCCAGCCCTGATGGGTTGCTCGGGACAGTCGGTAGACAGTAAAATTGTGCGTCCAAGCGATGAGTCCGTAAATCGTCCTCGCCCACATGCAGCGCATTCACCGGAAAGACAGAGTAAAGAGGACCATGCTCGCCAGCAGTGTCTGGTTATTCAGGGTTTGTCAGAATCGAATGCAGTCAGACCTGAAGACCGTGTCTCAGAGGACCTTGCTTCTTTTCATGGTCTGCTAAATCATTTACTGCCGGCAGACATGGAAATAAAGGTTCTGAAAGCATTCCGGATAGGAAAAAGGAGTGAAGACAGGACAGTAGCACAACCACCTCGCCCCCTCAAAATTATGCTGGAAAACAAAGAGCAAATCAAGTTTATCCTCTCTAAAAAAACCGATCTCAAAAACACACACAAGCAGGTTTTTTTTCAACCGGACTATTCACCAGCGGAACGGCTGAAACGCCGGGAACTTGTCCTGGAGTTAAAATCAAGACTGAAGGATGGCGAACACAATCTGGCTATCATCAGGGGGAAGGTAGTTCGGAAATATATGCCGTTTCAGTGGAATCAGCCTGTAATACTACGAACGACGACAGCTACTCAGCTAACACATACACCTTCGTTGAACCACCTGCTCAAGGCGGCAACACAAGTGAGCCAGTAGCGTCCAGTGATCTGACTGGAACAAGGCATGTAAATGGAACCAATCAGGTAACGGAAGAGCCTAGAGAACACGACGTCCGCGATAACGGAGTAATGCTCACAGCAGTAACAAATGCAACGGGAAATTCGGCTGGTGCTAAACTGAGGTGCTTGTACACGAATGCCCAAAGCCTCATATCGAAACTAGACGAACTAAAACTTTGCCTTGTTGAGCTGTCTCCAGATGTTTTAGCAGTAACTGAGACCTGGCTGTCCGGGAATATTAGCGATAACGAAGTAGCCTTGCCTGGATACCAAATTTATCGGAGGGACAGGGAACATCGTCAGGGTGGTGGTATCGTTGTGTATGTGAATGACGGTCTGACAGTGTCGGATAACACCACCAAGTTTGTGTGCAGTACGGAAGCTATCTGGTTGACCATCAAGGCTACCGGTTCCCCGTGTCTCGATGTCCTCACTGTCTACCGACCACCTAGGACAGACCGAATCGCCGACACTCAAATATTGGAGCAGTTGGAGAAATTTTCCAGTCGACCTAACATCATGATTATGGGCGACTTCAACGCACCAGGAACAAACTGGAATACCCTCCAAGCGTCAGGTCCAAAATCGGCATTCGATTACCGCCTGTTGAGCAAAACATTAAATGCGTGCCTCACACACCATGTAATGTTCCCAACGAGAACACGTGAAGGACAAAGGGCAAACTGCCTGGATCTGGTCTTTACGAAAACACCAGACAGCATAGACGAGATCGCCTCCAGGCCGCCCCTTGGCCGAAGTGACCACGTAGTGCTTATGTGGGATTATTCGTTATTCTCCATTTCACATACTCCAGACCACAAAAGGCGTAATGTTTGGCGGGGCAACTTCAATCAGATGTGGGCAGACTCATCCGGTCTTGACTGGGGCTCATTGTTTACGGGAAGTGCCAACGATGACTGGGAGCTGTTCAAGAATGTCCTTCTGCAGCTCATCAACAACCACTGCCCACTGACTAGTGTAAGACTGAACAAACGCCCTGGGTGGCTAAATAGCAACCTCAAGAAAGGAATCAACAGGAAGCACAAATTGTGGAGAAACTACTGCGTTACTAGACAAGCTGAATGCTTCAACATCTACAAGACACAGAGGAACAAACTGAGGAAGGTGATAATGCAGACGCGGCGGGAATTCGAGAAGAATTTGCTACAAAAAGCAACGCAGAACCCAAAATTGCTCTACAGCTACCACCGACGAACTACAAGGAACAGGCACCAAATCCCCTTGATAAAGACTACTGATAGCGTTGAGATCGCTGATAGTAGGGATAAAGCTGCGTGTTTTTCACGGTTTTTCCAATCAGTCTACACAAACGAGGCAAGGTTCCTTCCTCCCTCCACAGAAGAACTGCCGACTCCAAGCGTCAGTGATATACTCTTCTCAGAATGCATTGTCCGAAGAGAATTAGAGGCATTGAACGAATCGAAGTCGTCAGGACCAGACGAGATTCCATCGAAGCTTCTGAAGGAACTTGCCAGTGAGCTCTCTGTGCCTTTGTCGATGCTCTTTCAAACGTCATTTGACACTGGAACACTTCCTATGGATTGGAAGCTGGCGCATATTACTCCGCTACACAAAGGAGGTAACAGGGCAGCAACGACAAATTACCGGCCCATAAGCTTAACATGCATTCTATGCAAAGTTATGGAAAGGATCATAAAGACTGAACTGATGCAATTCCTGGAAGTTCGCGGCCTGCTATCGAAATGTCAACATGGCTTCCGGAAAGGAAGATCCTGCAAGAGAAACTTGCTGCAATCTCTCCAGATCTGAACCCGAGCTCTCGACGACCGGCACGCGGTCCACCTAGCCTTCATCGACTTCCAGAAGGCTTTCGACACTGTGCCACACCAAAGGCTCTTACATACGCTGAAAAAATAGGGATAGGTGGCAACTTCCTTAAATGGATAGAAAACTTCCTTTTGGGTCGACACCAGGTTGTGTGCATCGGTCGGGGAAAATCAGATCTTATTACGGTGGAGAGTGTTGTCCCCCAGGGTTCAGTGCTGGGATCCGTTTTGTTCCTTATCTACGTGGACGATGCCGCAAGAGATTTAGACTGTGAAGTAGCAATGTTTGCGGATGACATGAAGATATGGAGTGTACTTCGGGGTCCTGCCTACGACGACAGAATGCAGATGAACCTGAATTGTTTGGAGAAGTGGTCAAACCGTTGGCTCCAGCGGTTCAGCGTTGCCAAATGTAGCATACTTCGCCTAGGCAACACAGCCAGATCCGCCAGCACAAGAGGCTACTTTCTGGGCGGTGCAGCCCTACAAGAGGTCGAAGCCCAAAAGGACCTCGGTGTGATGACGACAAGTTCCCTAAAACCATCCGCCCACTGTTCGAGGGTGGCAAAAAGCGCAATGTCCGTACTGTACGCCATCAAGCGTGCGCTTATGGACTTTGACGAAGAAGCTTTCTCAAAAACATTCGGAACATTCGTCCGGCCGCATTTAGAGTACGGCATACAAGCTTGGAGGCCGTGGGCTGTTGTGGATCAAAGCTGCCTCGAAAGAGTCCAGAGGAGAGCCACGAAGATGGTTAGGGGTCAAAGCTCCTTTCCTTATGCAACCCGCCTAGTAAATCTGAACCTCTTTCCTTTGAGTTACAGGCAACTTCGCGGGGATCTTTTGCAAGCCTTCCGCATTGTAAAGGGGTTGGATTGCAGTCTGGCCTTCGAGGACTTTTTTGAATTTGCTACCTTGACCAACCTCCGAGGTCACCCGTTAAAACTGCGCACTCAGCAGGCACGGCTGGATGTGCGGAAGTTCTCCTTCTCGGTTCGGGTGGTCAAACCATGGAATGCTCTTCCCGCAGATGTTGTGATGTCACCATCTATACGAAGTTTTAAGAATAATCTGGACTTATTTATGTTCCGAAATGACCAAGAGCGATGAGAAGTAGAGCTCACGCCCTGCAACTCGTTTTCATTTTGTCCCACCATTATGGGCGTGTTCGAACTATTTCAGCCCAGAACATCTATCTGTACACCACAAATTTTTTACGTTGCAAATAGGGTACTCAAAGGCTTACGCCTATTTCCCTCAATAAACTGAACTGAACTGAACTGAACTCTCATTCAAATAAGAGCCGGAGGATATATCACCTGAAAGATATAAGCCTCTCCGCAGAATCTTCACAGAAGGATCTCGGGGTTTGGATACAGAACAACCTGAAACCAACACTGCAGTGCTACGAGGCTGCAAAAAACGCTATGGGAGTGCTCCATGCAATCAAAAGAGCTTTCGTTAACTTTGACCAAGACCTTTTTGGGAGAGTTTATGACACTTTTGTTCGGCCCCACTTAGAATATTGCATACAAGCATGGCGGCCATGGCTAGTAAATGACCAAGCATGCCTCGAACGAGTACAACGGCGTGCAACAAAGCTGGTAAACGGTCTAAAACGCCAATCCTACGCAGACAGACTGAATTGCCTTAATTTATTCCCTCTATGTTACAGGCAGCAAAGAGGTGATCTTATCCTCGTCTACAAGGTAATGCATGACCTTGAGCATGGATTTAAATTTGAGGACATGTTTCAGTGGCATCTTTCACGCAATCTTCGCGGTCACTCGATGAAGTTACGGACAACAATGTCCAGGCTGAATCTTCCTTCGGAAAATTTCCCGCAGAGGGTAGTGGAGCAATGGAACGATCTCCCACAGTCACTCGTGGAGGCTGCGCCTCTGCAACTCTTCAAGGAGGGCTTGGATGATTATTTGTGTCCCCTGTTTTCCCTCGACGGTCTGAATCTGAACTAAGACCCCGCGTCCCCACAAATATTTTCTCTGAGACAATGCTACTCAAATGAATCAAGTGCTGTTTTAATAGCGAATAATTTTTGTTCGTGTACAGTTATTTCTAACGAGCTGACATGTAATCAATAGGGTTTTCAAAGACTTTGCCTATTATCCTTACCAAATAAAGTGAATAACCTGGAAGTTTGCCGTCTCAGTTTTTTTTCTCCCGAACCCCGCAAACCATAGAAACCACCATCAACTATATTTTTATTCCGTTCTGACAGGAGTTTTTTTCATTGCTGGCCGGATTTGTGTTTAACGCTTCCCTGACAATGCCTGTAAACTGGCATTAAAAAAGTTATTATTATTATTATTATTATTATTATTATTATTATTATTATTATTATTACGTAAACTTGTTGGAATTATTTTGCATTGTGATTGGACCACATTCTAAATGTTTGCGGTTATTGTCACTGCATGAATATGAAAAATTATTGAACATAAATAGGGCCATAGGGGGCTCTTTGTGTTACCTCTAAAATATATATATGAATATGCCTTACTTCTTGGCCTTGTAAAAGGCCCTCCTGGGATATAAATATAAATATTACATGCTTTACTTTATTAGATGTCAAATGCCACTTAAATTCTGACAAACTCATGTCTTTGTTTGGTAGCCAAATCCACTTATATTATCCCCTGCAGCAATGGCCTTCGCGACTTTTAATGTCAACACCCACTTTGACCCTAAGTGACTACCTGATGATCACGGCGAATTACTCTATTTCGCCAACTTGCTGTTGGTTTGTTCAGTCAGCAAAGAAGCACTATGGTCGTGTTTACCTGAGCCTCGATGGCCCTCGCGGACTCGTAATGACCCCTCCTCGTTTCGACTTTTAAAAGGCTGTGAGCGATTGCGATGGGCTCCTAATCTCTCGGCAGTCTAACAGTTGCTTCTACGGTCATCCGAGATAAAGTACGATCGCACCTATAGCGAATGGGCTCATCTAGTTTAGGCATTCTTACTTGAGTAGAGGCGCTTCGGAACCCTGTAGTGGCCAAGCGGTGTGAACTTGTACTCAGAGTGCTGTAATCCTCAGTGCAAATCCCATGTTGCAGCAGAAGACAGAAGTCGTCAGACTGAGGGATTTATTGCATACAAAGCCCAGAGATTGTTCCTTTAGGTTGTAGTGGCCGCTGGCGAACACAGATCTGATGCTAACTGCATCCGATAATGCCAGAGAGTCCTTGAAACATTGGTGATAGCTGTCTTTGTATGTTTGTGGGGCAATCTTAAGTGGTCACCAGTTGGTGTGTTGAGTTGTCGATGAGTGGTGTTTAAGTGGTTTGTGTTGCATCTGTAGAGGGTAGTGAGCTTAAGTGGCGCCTGAGCAGTTGCGACTCTCTGGATTCATGCGCGTCCGAGTCGAAGGGGTCGCGCTTCTGAATCCGGCCGCTTGACGTCCCTTGACCTAACAGAGCCTTGAACAATTACGCCGGACTGGCCATGATTGCTGCCCACAATCTTATATACTCCCACCTGTAGGTCCTCATACCCGTAAACACTACGTGAAATATTTGAACCATAACCTGGAGGTGCTTGCCATTAATAGGGGAATTTATAGCATAATCTAGAGCAGTTCAGATCACAATATATTGCGGTTCAACCTAAATGGGATAATGGTCCAGTCACCTCGTCGACTTCTGCCTTTCAAAGTCGGCTGGATGCGGGGAAGCTCTCATTCTCAATCAGGTTGGCCAATCCATAAAATGTCCTCCAAGAAGATGACGTGATGTCACCATAGATGTTAAGCTTTTGTAATTGGGAACTTAAACTTGCTATCGGGATTCATTTTCGAATCTTCATGGAACCCGTCTGATTTTTTCCAACGCAATTAGTTTCTCCGTACAAAGCCTCACTTATTATTTTGCGAAAGGGGTGCTCGACTTTCGTACTTTCCCCTGAATATGCTAGAAAAAACTGAAAAATTAGGAGTCGGGAGGAAGAAAAGCGATCATCCTTCGGGGTTGGAAATGGCCACGACTTATTAGAAACTCTATGTCGGTAAATAGGTTACGGTCTAACAGTTACAGCGGAAGGTCGATATGTAGGTGGGGATTTTTCCAAAGATGACGTTAACGATCCGGAAAACTTTAAATTTCAGTCTATTTAAATAAACGAATGTAGTAATGACCTTTAGCCCATTTGATTGGCTGTAGTAAGGTGGTTTGGGTGCAGTTTTTCAACGTCGTGCGCGGAAAGACGTTCTCTTACTTCGATCGGAAGCTTCTGAAATAATGCTGGGGTTGAACGCTTCTAAATCACAAACAATCCTCAACAAACTCAAACCAACTACATTTTTGGCGCCTCTCGTCAAAAATGCAAGTTCTGTTAACGTGGATCTTGATCCAGAATGGGAGAAAATGGCACAGAAGCAGTTGAAGGGGAAAGATCCGCACAAACTTATCTACCCAACTTACGAGGTTTAAAGAAGTGTCTTTTTAACATATCATTATAGGGAATTCCATACAAACCCGTGTATACCGCCGCTGATACGGCCAATCATAAGGCTGAGTTACCTGGAAAATTTCCGTTTACTCGCGGTCCTTACCCAACAATGTACACCCAAAGGCCCTGGACTATTCGTCAGGTAAAAAACGTTATGCTCTGACGCCTGTAGTATGCTGGCTTCTCCACAGTCGAGGAGAGCAACAAGTTCTACAAGGACAATATCAAAGCGGGTGTTCAGGGCTTGAGCGTTGCGTTTGATTTGGCAACACACCGCGGTAACTGTTCTTTGCCTCTCACGTTGAATTTGTTTTTAAAAACTTGTATTTTGTTGCGAAAAGTCTTGATATGCTGCTGTTCAGTGTGCAGACCAGATGGACAAGTTGGAACTTGATAAAGGATATTTCCCTCGGCAAGGACAATACATATAGCGTACTTTTTATACAATGTACAAATTGCAGCAGTTCCCCGCCTTAGTACTGCACATATTTAGCTAAATGCACCGAGTTTTGAGACATTCCCTTCTTCGGTCTTTTTCTGGTTCTTATTTACCTTCTATCAGCCTTTGGTTTTTTTGCGTTTTTCTGGAATCCAGCAAAGCAAGTCATTATCGTTACGATCTTTGAAAAAAAGTATTCTGTGTCTGACCTTTATCTTCTTTTGTCCATAGGTTATGATTCTGACAACCCTCGAGTCTTCGGTGACGTTGGTATGGCTGGCGTCGCGATTGACTCGGTCGAGGACATGAAGCGTCTTTTTGAGGGTATCGAGCTGAAGTCAATCAGCACTTCGATGACAATGAACGGCGCTGTCTTGCCGGTTCTTGCTATGTTTATCGTGGCTGCCGAGGAGCAGGTTGGTTCTCGGAGTATTTAAAGCCTCAAAGCAAACGAAATGTAGTCGTGATTTACAAATTAACAAAATGTGATCAACTTCAGGGGGGATCAGCAGTTTTTTTCTAGGTAGATTTGTAGAGAAGTTTCATAGACGCGACTAGGGCCGCAAATGATAACTCCCGACTGCCAGCATTATGTTGTAACTAATTATTACCTTATCGACGAGCTTAGCTTTGAATTCCGTTTTCAGCGTTTTGTCGTAAGAGCTAACCACTCGCTTTTCCTTTGGTAGGGTGCTTCTCAAAAAGAACTTGCGGGTACAATTCAAAATGATATTCTTAAAGAATTTATGGTTCGAAATACCTACATCTTCCCTCCTACTCCATCAATGCGTATCATCGCTGATATTTTCGCCTATACCGCAGCTGTGAGTCGAGTTTTTGTGGTCATTCCTTGTGTGATGACGAGCCTGCAGAGTCACTTACAGCATTCAGATTCTACCCCGGCTCATCCAAGATTTGTAGCACACTGCACGTTCGTAATATATACCGGTTATGCAAGGCACTTATTCCTCTTATTTTCCTGACAAATCTCTCCATTTGACATCTCACAATGCACACTACACCTTAACTTACATGCAGTTTATTAGGTTTTTTAAAATTATTTTGTCTCGAAGGACCAAATACAAAATGATCACAACATATCTAGCAAAGGTGTTAATTCCATTCAAAGAGAAAAACCTCAGCAAAAGATTTTACGCTGAGGAGACGCTGATGCAAATAACATTTCTAAAATGAAAGATTTTGAGACCACACATATAACTGTTAGTATACTATTCAGCCTGGAATTTCCTCTGCTTTATTTATTTACAGCACATGCCCAAGTTCAACTCAATTTCTATTTCCGGCTACCACATGCAAGAGGCCGGCGCCAACAACGTCCTTGAAATGGCTTACACTATCGCTGATGGTATTGACTACTGTAGACTGGGCGTTGAACATGCTGGTCTCAACATTGATAAATTTGCGCCTCGTCTTTCCTTCTTCTGGGGCATTGGAATGAACTTCTACATGGTTTGTCCCTGTCGTCATTTGATTTTGTGTATTATGATTGTTTCGACAAAAATGCACCCTAGTGTGCCTAACAACGTGTTTACATCTCACGCACAGGAAATCGCCAAGATGCGGGCCGCTCGACGTCTGTGGGCAAAACTCATCAAGGAGAAGTTCGATGCTAAAAGCGAAAAGTCTTTACTTCTGCGTACCCATAGCCAGACATCCGGTTGGTCTCTTACAGAACAGGTATGTTACTCCTCTCTGTTCCGCAAATTAGTAATAGGTGTAACTGGTGCATGCCACTCGCTAGCAAATGAATTTTCGACTTATTGACTAGGATATGCTTCTCGAATGGTCTTTGTTAAATCAGAAGTCTTTGTTTATAAATGTGTTCAAATAATACTCTCCTATTCGATGCACGCTTTTCACTTTACAGCAGACTGGCCTAACTTTTATATCTAATTTTTTGACATTTTCTTTAATATTTAGCTTTCCGATGGCGAAAGACCTTCGGCTTTGTGCAAGGCTAAAAAAAACTAGAATAGAGAAAAGGCAACCATGAAATCCGATGGAGGACATACTCCGCCTCCGGTCAAATTACCAGGCAGAACCCGTAGACAACGTCGGCTGGCCTTACATGCTACAGTGTTGCCATTTTCTGAGATTTATTTCATAAAGTGCTTCATTTTGCCACTGGTATTAGCTTGATTTCAAGTCCACTTACTGACTACTTTGCGCACTGGTTGTAAAGAGTGCAGCGATTCACTAGCACATTTTGATTCAGGACAAAGGCAGAAAAAAATTGAAAGTCTTGATTACGTTAGTCAATCTGCTTCCCCTTATATTAAGATCTGCCTTGCATTTTCTCCTAGGATCCATACAACAACATCGTTCGAACAGCCATTGAGGCCATGGCAGCAGTGTTCGGTGGCACCCAATCTCTGCACACCAATTCCTTTGACGAGGCTCTCGGTCTGCCCACGAAGTTCTCTGCACGTATTGCTCGAAACACCCAAATCATTATTCAAGAAGAGACTCATATTACCCGTGTTGCTGATCCATGGGCTGGCTCCTACATGATGGAGTCTCTCACCGACCAGTTGGCAGCAGCAGCTCTTAAGGAGATTGAGGAGGTCAGTGTTGGCTTTTCTCTGCACCTCTACTTATAACAAGTCGCAATAATTGCTATTTGGTTAACATGTAGTCCAAACGCTTATCAATTCTACCGTCACACGAAACCTTTCGTTATTAACAAACTGGTAAGCACAATACTAAACAAGCATTTGGGGTTATTTCTTATTTTTGACTCATTCGTCCTGCCATCTTCTCTTCCTCCTCTTCCTTCACTACCTCATCCTCCTCCTACAGATACCACTTTCACCAATGCCTTTAATTTATTTCTAGTTTTGTCTAATCCGCCTTAACTGAGTTGCTGGAAAAATAGGTACAGGAGCACTATAACTTTCTTTTTTGATAGCTAACATGAACATTGGATTAGTCTGACGCTTGCGCTCTCATCGACAGTCCCACAGCGTGATGGATACAGGGACAGTGACTTGTATGTGAATTAGCGTGTAACGATGGGAGACCTACGTTGCATCTACCACACCCTCCCGCGCTACCCACATAAACCCGGTGTGCAGACTAAGTCATAAAGACCGCAGGTAGGATCGGGTGTATTGATTGCAAAGCTAAACAGTCCGTCTACGGCTGTCACATGCACACACACCTGTTCCACGCAGAATTTCGCAGAAACAAGAAATGGTCGGCTCGGATTCCATCTAGGTAGGAGTGTCATGGAGGCCAACTTAAGAAGTAGCCGTTACGGCCTAACTATCTATCCCGAGAAGACCATGTTACGCCATAAGTTGGCGGTTATCCAAGCCACGGATTTTAGCGCCCCGTGATAAATTCAAGCATCTCAGATTGTTTATAGAAACGAATATGCGCTTATTCGACCTCACTTTCCCTACCCCATGCACCAGTCCACTCTGCGAACCGATCAACCATCTGATGCAGAGATTGGGAGTAATAGCGCATCTGCGCGTGCCATGAAAGATCTGACTTCGCACACACACACACACGCACACTAGATTTTCATCCAAAATGATGGGCGAGTCGGACTTCACATGCTTGAGATTGCCATAGAGACAACTTGGCAAGGAGCCTTTGTGGCCTGACTCTCAACTCACCAGTCGACCGCTTCACACGCGAGGTTGATTGCAACCTTCTAAGCAATGACTTTTAGTACGCCATGATAGATTTAAGCCCCTTAGCTCTATTGCAGGGACGAATGCACTTAAATGGGTATGCAGTTTCTAGGGTTGGCCGCACTCTCCCTCTCCTATCCGCCAGTCTGAGCTTATCAATTAACTGACGATGGATTTGGATGAAGTGGCTGACAGAGCTTCGAGGATCAGTCTAAATGCGCCCTACATGGCCTGGCCAGGCATCAGGTGTGCCAAAATGCACGTTTCTCACTTAAATAAGGGGTGTTAATCATGTGCTTGTGAGGAATGATACTGGGCGCCCTTGTGTGCCATGTATAAACAGGTGGGGAGACGTTTGTCCATGAGGTTCGAACTGTGGTTTTGCGCTGCCGATTCTCCTACAGTCACATATGGCCGTGTAAACCTGAATGAGAGTGTGCAGTGTCGACATTTGAGGTGTGTGCGACGGGTGTACGTTAGTGCTCCTGAAACCGATTTACAAATTCCGGCACGACGGACTTACGAGCGACCGACCAGGTCGATGCGTAATGTGTGGGTGTAATCGTAATGGAAGCAGATTGTGATGGGGTTTGCATTGCTGGTCGTAGGAACGGTTGTGACGCATGGCATGGCACCAGAAGTGTTCGCATCGGTGGTGGGGGTAGGACTTTTGGCAGTCGCTGTTTTCGCGGGGATGTGGCAGTGATTATAGAGGTTGTGGTGGGCGTCGACAGCGGTGGCGATGGAAAGAATGCGCGCACACACAGTAGGCAGGTAGAGGAGAGATTGCGCTGAAGGAGATTTCTGAGCCAACATGGTCAAAAAGGACACAAACGGGAGAAAGACAGGCACAAAGTGGCCCGGTCTCTAGTCTTACCGAATAAAGCATAACGGGTGAAAATGATGCGGGGACGTTGTTAAAGGTGGCGTCCTGGGAAGTTCGAAAAGTTTCGGTGACGTTGATCGCAGCTGAGGGTGGCATCTGGGTGACATTCTTCGGCAGACCTTTTCTCTCAATGACTTCAGACGTCTGACACTCCAATTATCAAGAAGGAGGCTATGCTACTCTGTAGGCGGAAGGATGTTCCAAATTCTTGGTGCATGCTCGACACTTGGATGATTAATTTGCGTCCACCTAAGCATGACCCGTAGCACGTTGCGTTACTTTCCGTCCATTTTTAATTTTTGTTAAGTGTACGGTAGCACCTGAACGCTGACCTTCTCGGGGATCTTCATCCATTACCTCACTGTCTTTTTCAATTGAAAATAGGTCGAGGCAATGGGTGGTATGACCAAGGCTCTCGAAGCTGGCATTCCAAAACTTCGCATTGAGGAATGCTCCGCGAAGCGGCAGGCAGCTATTGATTCCGGCGATGGTATGTCTACACTTTATATAAGCTTGGCTAAACACGTCTGGTCCCTCCTTACATGAATAGCTTAAATATTGTTTCGGTGACCTCTTACTTAACATTTTTTTATCTTCACCTCGGCGGCCCCAGAGGTCATCGTCGGTGTGAACAAGTACCGCCTGGAGAAGGAGGAAAGAGTGGACGTTTTGGTTGTCGATAACACGAAGGTCCGTGAATCTCAAATTGCCAAACTCAAAGCGCTTCGCAGCTCACGTGACCCGAAGAAGGTAAGTTTACTCTGGCGATGTTTTTGTGTCTAACGCGCTGGTCAGCTGCTCCATCTCGTGCAACCTAATCAATTCACTCCTGGTTGACAAAATGGTTGTGGATGTAAGCTCATCAACTCTGTCGCAAACCTGATTCCCTTGTCCAACGCTCAACGCGTTCCTGATCGAGATCAAACCGAAGTGCCTTAAAGGCCTCCTAATCCGCAGCTCGTCTGATTCGCTTCGTTTACTATCTTACGTATAACATTTGATGACTGCCCTAAAGTGAGGCCATGGCTCAGTTTTTTACCAAGCACATTCTTTTCTGATGCTGGGATCATTTTGACTTCTGGTACCTACCTGAATAAAACCACACATGTATACGTAGACACAGATGTATGCTTGTATGGACAATGGTGTTGGTGTTCTAGGGAGGAGAACAAAACTGAAGTTGCAGCGAAGAGCGATGCAGGTGTGGACGGCGATCGCCAGAATTTAAAGGTCTTTCCCCGTCGGACTGGCATGACAGAACTCGTGAAGGTAGATGTCGACAGGTCATCCTGTCCGGTCTGAGAGCCTTTAGACCGTAGTCTGTAAATTATGGGCCACCAGTGCGATTCTCACCCTTCAAGCACCAAAGGGCGTAATTCAGTAGCCGCCCCCTGATACTGAAAGCTTGTCTGCATCTAAAACGTCAGGACAGCCCGAGCATAGTTTGTGAGATCGCCTTTTTGTTATATTTATGTATTGAAAGATGGGCATCCCAAGATGCTTAATTTGAATGTAATATGTCGTTTGGAAAATCTGACAAACTTTATTTCGTGTATTTTCTACACTAGTTCCCCAGACGTATGGCAAATGTGCAAGACAGTTAAAATTCTAAAAGTGCATAAAAATCGATACTGCCCTTTAATTCCTTTCAATAAGTCGTGGTTGTGGTTAGGCATCCCATGCGCCTATATATGGATATAGGCGAAAATGCGGACCCCAGGTGTTGGGATGGAAGAAGGGGAAGAGATCTCTGGGGAGGATGGTTTATTCATCTGACGTTTCACATTCATACTTGGGCGCATCATCGGAGATAGGAAAGCGGGCCTCCCAAGAAATTTAATTTGAAATAGGCCAGATTCTTTGGGGGCAACATAACCTCTATTGTGTACATTTTTGAGACTGGTTCCCCGGCTCATCGTCAGACTTCTGGGTTATGTACAAATACAGTTATCTATTTAACCGTGTCGAGCAAGTGATTCTGTGTTTGCCCGAAGCCCGCGGCAACGCTAGTCGATCGTATTTTGTCATCCCCTCGGCAATGGCTGCGCTCGCTTCCATCTTTCCTTGAGAAATTTGTACGTGGCATCTAAGTGGAAATTTCAATAACGGGCTGGGAAGCCAGTCTCGAAGAGGTACGCAATAAAGTTACTTTCGTTCTCAAAGTATCTTACCTATTTCAAATACATATATATGAACCAGTCATACCTAAACTCCAGGTCTGGATAAGTTGTGGTTCGAAACGACACTGTTTGATCATTGTGCTTCAAGTAAAACGTTGCACCATTAAGTTGTGGATTCACCGTTCTCTCAAATAATCACTCCCATAGAAATACGAACTTATCGGAGGGACTGGGGAACAGTCTTCATTAGCAGTCACAGTTGCACATTAATGGAGTTTCTCTATTTGAAACAGTCCATGGGGGCAATGCGATTGACACTCCGGATACCTATGCTATGAATTTGTGCGTCAACCATTTGTCACCGTCTCATTTCAGGCCAAGGCTGCTCTGGAGGCCATCACTGCAGCCTGCGCCAGTGATGACAGGAGTCTCAACCTGCTGAAGCTGAGCATTGACGCCGCCCGAGCCCGATGCACTGTCGGTGAGATCACTGACGCCATGTCAGCTGTATTTGGTCGCCACAAGGCGAATGACCGTCTCGTCTCGGGGGCCTACAAGTCAGGCTATCGTTCTGGCGATGAACTCAAAAAACTTTCTGAGAAGATCGAGGTAGGTATCAGGTAATTGTTTTTACCTAACGTTTTTTATGCTCATCCCCTAAATCGACCCGATACTTCACGCCTCTAGGCCTTCGCCGCTGCCGAGGGTCGTCGACCTCGTATACTTGTGGCTAAGGTGGGTCAGGATGGACATGATCGTGGAGCCAAAGTCGTTGCCTCTGGTTTCTCCGATCTTGGCTACGACGTTGACGTTGGACCCCTGTTTGCTGTAAGCCTTCCTAACAATCTATTCGTCCTTACTCATTGTTGTCATACTTACATGTTCTTCTATGGCTTCTGTTTGACTCGAATTTCTGCCGTTTCCTTTTGTTAACTGTGGAAATACCGTCAGTCCTGACTGTGAACCGCCCTTAATTCTGAGCAACTATAATTCCAAACTCTCGGTCGTTTCTGCCCATGTCCTGTGCTATTCAGGGTAACAGGCACCTTGAAGAAGGAGATGCGATTGCTGGGAGAAGAGCTTTATCTGCGAATGTCTCTGATGATGGATTCGAGTGAGAATCCGAAACGTCAGGCTCGTCACTCACTGCTTTCTCAATAGCGACTATGTTTCGCTTGTTAGTAGTAACCCCCCTCGGGCGTCCTTTACTTGGAGCGTCCGCGAGTTAAATTATCCAGCTTTAAAGTACAAAAATCCCCTACATCGTCGCCTGATCCGGAAATAATTTGCTGATAGCTTATTAAGTTCTTCGAGGCAGGCTGAGGCTCTACCATCGCTATCAACTCTGTGCCGAAGGATCCGCCGCAGGCCAACCTCTTTGCGGGCGGAAGTCGCTGGCGACCTGATATTTTTTAAACTGTTTCCGTCTGAAGGGGACTCAGTTATTCCTTGGGATGCTGCCAGTTGCCGCTCCTACAAGTCTAGAGCTACAAATTCACAGGATTTTCCCACCATCCCATTCATGTTCATCATGCTCGACTTTCAGCGAGCCCGACCTTATCGAGAGAGGTCCCGTCCGCGTAGAAAATTCTTGTAACGACAAATTTTGCTCCTATACCTTTCATTCGTCTGCGTTCATTCCCTATAGACTCCTGAAGAAGCCGCTCAGCAGGCCGTGGATGCTGATGTCCATGCTGTTGGTATAAGCTCCCTGGCTGCCGGCCACAAAACTCTCGTCCCAGCATTAGTCAAGGCGCTGAAGGACCATGGTCGTAGGTGAGCATCATGTCCTATTTCTACCGGATTCCAAGGTTTTTGAAACTGACTTCCCCGCTTTTTGTGGATCTTTTTAAGTATTTCGATTCCGTCCTGGTCCCACTATTGATCGTATTCGAAACAATGCAATCTAATATATTATAGTGTTTATCCATAGCTGATCACCAGCCTGTCTCCATACGGTCGTTTAGTGGTTCATATCCACAAATTGCCGTCCACAATTTAAAGGGTTGTTTATTGCGCCCAACCGGGAAAGCCGCTCCTACTCGGCCAACTGTAATGAGGCCCAACCCCTTATCCCCGCAATTCAATCATCGCTAACGATCACGTCCGCTGTGTGCGCTAGAGAGTAGTCGGCACAGGACGGTGACTTGACGAGTCAACTGGTTTATGGTGAAACAGACCTGCGCAGTATCTATCGCAATCTCCCCTCCCGGCAGCGGTATACAGAAGGACCCCTTTTAACTGTCAGTAGACTGTGGATCGTGTCATACGTGATTCATGGTAAAGGGAGCTTTATGGGTGGGGCAGCATGCTAGACAGTAAGCTGACAAAATGAAAGAAAACACAAAAATTGCACGAATTTATGCCAAAAGTTTTACCCTACGCTATTGCACGACAACGGAAAAAAGAGTAGTAATAAACAGTAAACAAAAAGTAAATCTCACAAAATAACGCATTTTGAGTTAAGGTGTGAGGCCGTGGGAAGTAATCGTTGCTGTTAGTGTAATTTCTGCAACAGCCTACAAATGTATGCCAAGATAGAACCCCATATGACACGATCCACAGTCTACTGGCAGTTAAGTGGGGTCCTTCTCCATACCGTTGCCCCTCCCTCTGGTCGCAATGGCAAAACAGAGTCCGGATGACCAGAGGCAGGGTCGGGTGCAGTGACGAACAATACCAATCCGCTCGTCTACGCGTACCACACACACACACACACTCGCAATGTGTACGGGGATTTCACCCATCAGGGAAGGGGCTTGGGTCACTCATGCCAGTGAGTGTCCTATGGTTCACATTCAGAAGAAGCCACTAGGTCTGGGTTACCCTGCCCGTTGGCAGTCTTCCCAGCCGCGGCGTTTAGCAAGTCCTGGTCAACGCAAGCGTACCAGATTTACTCTAGTGCGGAATGTGCCGAGGTGGTGGTTAGGGGGGGGGGGCTGTGGAGTACTCAGGATCGGTATCTCTCTCGCCCTTCCCTCCCCCATATACCAATCAACTGTACAAACCTGTCAGCCATCTGGTGCAGGGATTGGACGTGGTGGCCGGTGCGACGCAAAATCCACGCCTAGGCGTGCCACCACACTGCCCCTTGAGGGTCATTTTAGAGGATGCGTGAACACTAAGCAACCTGATAAACGCGTGCTGCGAGCCAGTATAGTCCCGGTATTCGGCCAACCCTTCCATCGCTTACCCACTGTAGGGGCTTTGTTCGTGACTTTCCAGGTGTCTGAGTGACTTTACTGTTGAATGCAATTCGCCGACACTTTCGTGGTGTAAAGAATGAGGGGCTTGACGGCACGAAGCTCCGCGGTCACTACTCTAGAGAGCATTTAAGTCGAGGTTTCTAGTTAGGCTTTTGTTTTTGCCCTTTACTCCGACCTCCAGTTAACTTGTCTCACCTTGAACAGCATGTCAAAATTGCGCGACACTGAAATCGCATCTCCCAGGCATTGACGGGAGCGCTCTTTATGTGAACTTGGCCGAGATTTGTGAGGCAGGTTATCACAAAAGTATATCTCCCGGCTTACGTTTTCCCCTAAGCATTCATCGAGAAGGTCCTGCTAAGTCAGCCTGCCTGGTGACCTTGTCTCACAGAGCGGTCATCTCCCAGCCACCCTTTCCGTCCTGAAAATGACTGCTGTTGCGAGCTTTTGTCTATCAGGAGTAACCGGAGATGAGCATGGTAAACAGGGGTATGCAGAGAGCCGTCTTTGTCAAGGGTGTTGGTTAGCCTGTCCCACACACTGTATGGGGGCTCACGCCCTCTCAACCACCGCGCTCAATCTCACCTTCAATTGGCTTGACTGGAACTTGTCACTAGTGTGGGGAAGGAAGGAAAGAATGAGGTCATTCCAGCGCCTCACAGCAGTGGAAGTGTGATGGTCGAGATAACTCGCTGGGTAATCTTTGTAGTCGGCACGTCCAGACTGGACTCCCATGGCAGCGCTTCCTGTCATCCAGGTCCATCGACAACAGTTTCTTTTTCGAAACTCAGTGTCGGCCAATCCTAAGGGATAAAGTAAATGTTTGTTTGGATTGATGTTGTTCTACCGTGTTAGCGCAGGTGGCTCGAGGACCACCATTGTCCCTAGGTCCTTGGGCTGCCTTACCTGAGAGTGCCATAAAAGCCACCTCTAGAAGGAACCAGGCCGTAGTGGGCCTAAGTTATCCCGACAGTTGGAAACTTACGAGCCACGACGGTCGGCATATCGCGGTAGTTTAAATGTGGGTTTTTTGTTGACAATGGAAGTGATGATTGGCATGACACGAAAGCACTTGCGTTTTCCGCACACGCAGCTTAGAGAGGAGCTGAAATAAGCGGAGGCGCGCAAACTCACGGGATATTCTTCTCATCGCGTGATTGTCGTATGAGTGAAAACCACTGTCTTGTAGATTATCGATATGCGTATGCATTTGGTCGAGTGCTTCTTCGCACCGGCCTGTTTGGTCATATTCGAATACACGACAACAGCGACTAAAACAACGCGACAAAGCCACCCACCTACAGCACCTATCGGAGTTTATTCAAATGCGTATACGCTTGTTGTTCATTCACTACCCGCATTCTGTCGTGTGCCTTATACTAACTCTTGTGTTTTCAACTTGATACGAGGTCGCAACCTTCTCCTCTGATAATTGAGGCGGCCGCCTGGTTAGGCTAAAGTGTTTCGATCCTGGTGTGTTCTGATTGGCCACTTTCTGAAATTTCCCTCTCTCTCCTCCAGTGACATCCTCGTCTTCGTGGGCGGTGTGATTCCGCCGCAGGATTACGACTTCCTGTATCAGAGCGGCGCATCCCTGGTCTTCGGTCCCGGCACCCGTATCCCCGATGCTGCAGGCAAGGTCCTCGAGGCCGTTCAGAAAAAGCGCGCCAAGGCCTGTTAAGGCCTGCCAATGCCTATGAGTCACGTGTGAAGCGGGAGAATTTGAGAATCAAAAAGTACAGCAACATCTCACCAGCACCTGCCCCCACCCTTCCTTTTAACCCCACACCCCCTGTGATTCCATCTTCCCTGGCATATCGGAGCAGCATCGCAGATACTACCTTCCCCCCACCTCTAAGGGCGCAATTCGCCCTAGATTCTTTTGAGCCATCAGCAAACCTGCGACATGCTTCGCTCAGTGTGTGTGGTGCTTTTCGTATTTTAGTGTACTCTTTGCTATTCACTACCATTATTTGAGATTTATACTCCTTTTGGCCACGTGTGTATATTGCTTTTTTTCGATGCTCTGGAGTCTTGGGTGTAAGGGTTTCCATTAGGAGCGGGATTCGTGCAGGCAAGGCAGTCCGCGTATCTCGACCAGAGTAACAATCGGGAGATGGCACCCAAAAAATCCGTTACCTAGAACTAATACCTTTACCAGTGGACTCAAACGCCTTCAGGCTATATCAGCGGTTGCAGGCATACTTTCACGCACTACTTGGACCTTCCCCGACGGCCTAACATGGGCTGGCCGAACGAACATCGCAGGAGGTTACATGGACGATGGTCGCTGTTACCCACCCTTCCCCATCGTTACACACGTACACCTGAATGTACGGCATACATTCGCATTATGACAGTTTATTAGAACAGAAAATCACATTTACATAGGATAAGTCTGCACAACATGGGACCAAACCAAAGACGATACTGTATTTCGCCTATGTAAGCCCACACAACTTGACCACATACAGGACCTCCCTCGTGGAGTTTCCTTTTCAGTGTACTTCAGTATGCCTCAATGGCATTGGTGTGCCGTCCGGTGGTAGGGTCCTTGAAGTTCTTTGAGTGGTTAACAGAGAAATGTAGATAACCTTCTGAGGGAAGACGTTTATACGCCTTCCACTCGTCCGTTACCATTATACTGCCTTTGGCGACCCATTTTGTAATAACGGAACGGAGAGCGGGCAAACTTCGATCATTCACCTGTTCAAATAAGGCTTTCTGTCGGCGAGTATCGTAAATCCCGACCAGTCACCACCCACAAAACCCTATCACCACCTGTCCCGTAAGACAGGCTGCTTTGGCTAGGCGGATTTTTCTGGGTGTCGATTGTTACCTCGACCAGTCAGAAATCCGTCATGTGCATACGTGAACGGAAAGCAGGTGATAGCGTTGGTCCAACAGTTGATACGTTGCAGCTGACGATGCTAGGGTCGATTCTGCACACATCGCCACAGTCTTCCTGTCATCTCATAAGAAGATAAATTTGTACGAATACGTACTGGTGTAGTTGGACAGTTTTAGAGACCAGTAAACCACCCTACCATATAGTAATTGCCATTCCTCGGGTAACTAAAAATCCTCCTGTTTTGTTCTGCACGACTGCATACCCTCCTCCCTCGCTTTCGTCTTAGCGGTTTGCGGGCGAATATCATGCAGAAATATGGCTTGTAGATCCGGTCCGTTCCATTGTGGCAGGACGTCAGATAGACTGGAACACTGAAACAGAGGTCGGGCCAATCGTTCGGCATCCAGTTATATAGTGCATACAATTAACCTTCAGTTACTGCCCCTATCATTGAATAACGTCCTCACAGATCTTTGGAAAAGATTCTTTATTCACGTCGCCTTGGTATCTAACCTAATGCAGGTCTTTGGTTTAGTTTACGGACAGGGGATCGGTTCCGATTCCACAGAACAGATGAAAATCATAGATGTATCAGGCGAAGACTGTCTGTTGGACCGAGAAACTAAGATACGTCTGACATGCTGTCGTCATGGAAGTATAAGACAGACTGCACATGAGCTATCGGTTCAGTGGTATTCGCATAAAGTATTATTGACCGGCCCCGCGTTTCAGTTCAAGTTAGGAGATGCGAAAGCTTGAGAAGTCAGGCCTATAGCTCGAGCACAATTGGTCATCTGGACTCAATCGACTTAGTTAAAAATGGAAAAAAGGGTTCTGATGACTCGGGTCGAATCAATCACCTGCATCCCAAACCCTGTTCCCTGTGACCGCAGCCTATATGGGTAAGGCCGATCATTTAAAGGGGACAGAGGTATAAGGTTGACAGCGTAGTCGAGTCGTCCCAGTCCTAAAAGCTTACGGCGTTCTTTTAGTAGGTTTGTCAAAACTGCTCACAAAGACGGCAGGGAAGTTTGCGTATTCACAGACCTGCCGATCACAGCACACCGCATGCAATCCTGGTAGGCGTGTATCGTCGTGCCAATTGATTTAGGGCGGTCCATGTGACAGCTTGAATGCCGCGAACGACCGTGTGCCCCACAGTGTGGTAGGCGCAGAACGCTGAATTGCCTGTTAATTAGTTTATACTGATAGCAGACTTGCGTAGCGCCTGCCACACCCTTCCCTTCGTTAGTCATTTAGGCCTGATGGCAAGACAGAGTCAGGATGAGAGTGTCTGGCAAAGTTAAACAGTGATAGGGGGCACCCTTCTATCGTTCTTACGGAACTTACTCCTTCCGTTCTGCCTTACGGGCTCTCTCTCTCGAGCCAACCAGCAGCCCCACTGTGGCGCATGATATAGACAGTATGTTATCATCGACAAAGACAAGGGAGACTGGAATAACCATTTCTGGCTTACTAGCCGTCGTCAGCCAGTCATACCCAACCCCTAAGTGTGGAACACCCCTGGCTCGAACTCGCGACCTGTTAGTTAGAAGTTCACGCCTCTAACCACTGGACCGCGAGCCCGTTGCCCTGTAGGTTTCGGTCGGGAACTTACAATGGTAGGGGGCGCTCACACAGCCCGACTGTGTATGCCACAAATGGCATGGTCCCCCTCCCAGGTTATAGCAGGGTTTCACAGGAACAAAGGGGTGGCTCGGGTCCCGTCTGCATGAGAGTGCCATAGAGGTCGCATTAAAAGGAACCCATTGCAACCTGACTCCCAGCCCACCGATCAGCCTTTTAAAACCCGCACAGGATTGGCCGCGGGACCGGGTTACACCGTTAGTTGACGACCTTCCGTGTTACGACTTCTAGCATATCGTGGTAGGTTAAGGCGCGTCAGATTTATTATAATGGAGAATGTGCTGAACTCTCGGGGGTGGGTGGGGCGCCCCCAGAGTTGACCTCACTCTCCTTTTCCTCTTCCGTGCGCCGGGTCGGTCAGTCATCTGATGTTGTAATGTGACCCAGTGCCTGACGGAGCCACGATTTTCTATCTACAAGTACCACACGTCCCGCTCTTGTGACAGTTCGACCGCCAGGCACAGCGATGTCCACCATGTGGTCCACAGCGAGATGAAGCAGGTGCGGTGACTTGCGCGTGGAATAATGTATAGGGCGAGTAGACTTGCGAAGAGGTTACCGCACTATCTCCTTTTCTCCGCCTGAGCCGGTGTTGAGACGCAGTCAAGAGGACCGGAGGTGAGGAAGGATGCAGGTGGCTGGCACAATCGAAGATGATTGGGCAGCCATACTCACGACTCGTATACCCAGCGGGAGTGTACGTGCATCTACCGGCAGGGAACCAGATGGTAGAGAACAGCCAGCGCGTGTCAGGCCGAGAGAACCATGGTTTGCTGAACCTGGCATAGTAGATGCTTACATTCCTTGAAATCCTCCTCTTATATATGATTAAGAATGAAAAAAAGACGAGTACTGGAAGGATGAAAATGTCCTACTAGTTACCTAAGTTTGAGGACTGCGTTGACTTAGGCAGCTCTGTTCTTTCCCCTAGCAAACGTAAGTCAGGATCTTTAGTCAAATATTGCCCTGTTTTGAATAGAAATTGACAGACAATGTAAATCTGATTTGCAATTTTCAATAAACTTCCATAACTGGTGAAAGCATCTTTGTTAATGTTGATTCAGAAAACTTACTTTAAAAATAAGTTTCGATGAGCACTACGAAAAAACAATGTTTGGTCAGCCAGTTATTTGCCTAACTCCAAAAGTACGTGTGTTAATATATAATAAGGCCTTTGCTCCTAATTTTACGCTATCTAATCATTTAATAACTAAGGAAAGTACTTCACCAAAACCAAGGCGGATTTTTCGTAACATAAACACTAATTTTCCCGACCTCTGGATCCGCAGTATGCGTCGACCCTCATTGAAAATGGACAGATCTTTGTTCAGTACACATTTTAATGAAACGAATTGCTTGGGTGAGGTTTCATAACCGGTTTTGAATGAAACTTCTTTCAAGTAAAACAGTACATAAGAGATTGCGGACGTCTGGATGAAACAAGAACAAATTTAACTGTAGATACAAACATAAAATAAATTGTATTTTGAGAAGGGGTACCTGTTTTTCTCCTCTAAAGCGAAGTGCATATTCCAATTTGGTTCTTAAATAGGTTGTGTGTTCTGGTTTAAAAAACGTTTATCAAATTTAATCTTTCTTGAAATACAACCCGGGTGTTGACTCGTTTTTAAGCTGTGCGTAGGGTATGACCTTAAGTCCTCCCAAAACAAATTTATCTGTTTCTTCTTAAATATAAAAACGCTTTTCAGCGTTCATACGAATAGGGATATATCACTTCGCATACGCTGAAAGCAGTAGTTACAAAGCCTATGACCATCGGCGTGAGTCATTACGCGAGCCTAACAAAGGTATAATAATTATGACTTTAAAACCGAAACAGACTTCATTTCACTTCAGTTGATTTGAGAGAAGTTTTGGTGTGAAGCTTTGAATGGTCATTTGTAAGTGTCAGTAAAACAATGAGGTGGATGCAGGAAATAAGCCTCCTAAATAAACGTTCAAACACCACGTTCGAACAAGACAGCATTTTTTGTTAAATGAGTGTAAGAAGTAAATTCTGCGTGAGATCTTTGCAGTAAGTTGGGCTGAATTCATACACGCACTGAGAATCATAGCCTCATAGCTCAGGTTGCTAGAGCGTTGGCTGTAATAACGCATTCCCCTTCCTGTCGTGGATTCGAATCCCACCGAGACACAGAGTTTTTCACGGTTTGGTCAATATG